CCAGTTTTTGGTTGAGAATGATGCTACTCGGAGTTCTAAGAACGGGAAGGTATGACATTCTTGAATCAGTCAAATATAAGCCGAGTTATGCACATTTTTCCAAAAAAAAAATTACAAAAATTAAATGATTTTTTATTGGTTTTTTTTATTTCAAAATTTAAGCTTTCTATATACTCATCAATGAATATCTCGACTATTTCGTCACCTATTCCAAAACGGAATACCATTTACGAATCAGGGCTCTAGTCCCCTTCTTTCTACATCAAAATAATGGCGAAATTAATCAAAAAAAATTTGACCCAAATTTTTGGCAAAAATGATGATGGTACCCCTTGAAAATTTTTCAAAAAATGAGTCAGATTTTTGATAGACTGATTTTCATTGGAAACTATAGTCCTTCAAAAACTAAGAACAGGAAAGCATAACATTTAATGTTCCGGCGAGTATTAGCCGAGTTATGGCAATTATAAGTTGGAGTTTGGCTTAAAATCCTGAAATAAAAATTGGATAAAAATTTTCCTATTTTTGGTTAACTGAAACTTATTTTTGCCTTAATACCAGTCTTTAAAAATTAAATGCCACAACGACAGCAGCTATATTATTTAATATTTTCTGCATACTGGCCTCGTTGGGATTTTCTCATCGTTTAAGCATTTCCTTCCTGTTTTGATTCATTTGGACTGATTTGTTCATTTTGGCCGCTTCCTGTTGTTTTTTACACTTCCTTGGCATTGCTCCCCGCCCCAACCCAGTGAAAAGTTTCTCTTGTTTTTGGAGTTGTTGTTGTTGTTGTTTACGCTTCTACCGGAAACTCATCCCTCATCCGCCATGGAAATCGTTTAACAGGCTAAAAGGACAGGCAGCCGGGTCCATAGTCTATAGTCCGTAGTTCAGGAAGCTGACTTTTATTGGCCAAAGGACGACGGCACATCGAACCTAATTGCCGTTGTTGGCCAAAGTAAGTTTGCGCCTGCATTTCGCCTTTGCAGCTTTTACTTCGCATTATCCTTGATCCAAGATTAACAGCGTGGCAGGGATTATTAGCCAATGGACCACTTAACACCTGAGCCATTACGGTTATGCAATCCGATGGTTAAGCCAATTAATTAAGCAATTAAATCAGGTGACATAAAAATGATTAAAAAGGAAATATTAAGGTAGTTTAAAAGGGATTTTCAATAAAGTTTATAGGGTTAGGTTATGATGCCAATATTAAATACTCGTTTAGGCTAAAAATCATCCATTTAAAGGTGAAAATATCATTCATAAATGCTTTAAAGGAGGAGACAGCCTTTTGTAGCGTCGTGTGAAGTGACAACCAAGTGTTGCTCTGGGCCATTGAAGGGTCCGAGTTGCCCATTTTCCGGCAGCAGAACAATGCTGGAAAAATGCTAGATAAATGCGAGAGAGGCAGAGGAAAATAGGAAAAACGACTAAGGACTAAGGACTAAGGATGGCTTGAATTTCCAGGCAGCTGTCAAACAATGCGAGCATTTGCGAAACGCATGTGAATGCATTTTAATGGCTCGGCAGAATGGGTCGACTTTTACTTTTTTTTTTCCTTCTGGTTTTTCATTTTATATTTGTTTTTCTCCATTTTCATTTCTGTCTTTTTTTTTGGCTGAGTGTGCAGATGCAGATAAGTCCTGGTCGCATCGCCCCGTTTTGGTGGAAAAGTGGGCGGGTCGTAAAGGAAAATGTCGCCCTTAGCGACATTAAAAATCGTTGTTGCCAATACTGTTGCTTTTTAGCTTTTTTTTTGTTTTTTTTTTTTTCTTTACGATTTTCCTCAAATTCCATGCATTCTACACACGCACGGAAAATGGTGGGAAAACCTTTGGAGATCCAGCCAGATATATGGGATATCCTTGGATATAGTTTGCGAATTCAGCAAAAGTGCCGACAAAGTTGTAAACCAAACCAGAACCAGAACGTATTCGAAACTTTTTTTACACTCGAACCACAAAAGTGCGAAGAGAATCTTGGGTTACGAGGAATGACTCTGGCAGATTCTGGCAATGGAGATTCTATTAAAAAGACTTTGTGGCTTTGATTGTTTTGGATTTTATAGGGAAGTAGTACACAAGTACAAGTACTTTTTAAGTGGTTTCCTTGAAGAGGTAGTTGAAAATTTTATTTTTTTCTGGTTTTGGGTGGGGAAGTAAAGTTAAAGTGCGTACTTGTAAGTACTGGGGTTTTGTGGGAGAATTAGATGCGGTCTGGTTACCAGTATTTGTCCGAAAAGGGTCTAGAAAATATATCTAATATATTCTCTACTAGACTTCAACCCAAATCTCGAGTGTTTGGAGCATATTCTGTATCCCAAAATTTTGTCTGCAATGAGAACCAACACCACCATTAATATTTATCACAGAATTATATGAACTGCGCATTCCGGGGTCTGTTTTATGCCTGTGGCTACGCAATTATTCCGACATAGTTGCTTGGATTATCCCGAGCCTTAAATTCCGAATGCCATTAGCAGATGCTCTCCATCCTGGCGGACCATTTTGGATAATTTGTAGGAGGATTTGGGAGAGACTCGGGATGGAATCAGATTTATTTTGTATTTAAGAGTGATGGAAGCTGGAATAGCCGTCTCTCTCTGCTTAATTACAATTAGCCATAGATTTTAATTATCATAATGATAATTGCCTTATGGCGAGAGCATTGTCACAGTTGGTTTAGTTTTGGCGCCTGTTTAATATTTGATCGTCCTGTCGTCCTTCCTGTCATCCTCTGCTGTGGTGTCCTGTCCTGGTATGAGAATCCGCTTTGATGTTTTTTTGCTCGTTGCCAATGCTAATTGGATTGCATCTTTATTAATTAGGCAGTGACAGGATAGCAGGATAACAGGCTGGCAAGAGAGTATCCTTGCCGGGGACTCGTCTCTATGCAAATCGCCTTGAAATATCTCGGGGCGCTATCAAGCGCCAAGGATGTAATTAAAATATGTTGCCAAAAGACAAACAACAACAAGCAACAACCGTCTATCGAAAAAACACTAACAGACAACCAACAAACCAACAAATTCCACAAAAAACAACAAACAACAAAGATACAAAAAATACAAAAAAAATGAGAAAAGGATCTCTCCGCCTGACACTCCTGAAACTGAAGCTGAAAAACGCACACAGACACAGAACAAATTGATAAATATGCAAATTTAATAGACTCGCAATCAATTTGCATAAATCTTGGCGGCTAAAAATAAATAAATAAAATTCAAAATGTAAAAGAAATTAAGCGAGAGTTAAAAAGCAAGTGAGTCGACGTTCAAGAGCTCTTTCCTGTTGGAAAATTCAATTACTTAGCATTTACCTTTTGTTTCAAAGGATAACAAAAAGGATAAAACTAGAAAATATTAATACAAAAAAATATAAGAGATTACAAGCTAGAAATATTCTAAAAAAAACATAAAAATATTTCCATCTCTGTATAATATAACAATAAAATTTAAAATTCAGCTTTAAAATATTTTCGAATCCATTCTTCAAATTCCCTTTGTCGAGCGGAATTTTTTCTCAACTTTCAAGGAATTTTCCCAGGACACACACACAGGAGAAAAAGTGAGAAAAAAATTAGAAAATAAATATGCTAAATGGAGTCGCTGGCAGAAAAACAATGCTGTAATAATAACAAATACAACAGCAATACCATGGAAAAGTAAAAGCAAACAGTAAAAAGAAAATAAAATAAATAAAATAAAAGTAAAATAAAGGCTGGTTGAGGGGGAAAAGCTGCTTCAAATGGCAATTGACTGTGAACAGTTGTGCATATAAATTGGGGCAGAAGGCGATGAAGATGCACAGATACAGATACAAATACACGGCTAAGGATACAGATACAGATACAAAGTGGCAAGGATACAAGGGAAAGGGTGGTGGTGGTGGTGTGCTGACAGGCAACCAAAAACGAGATCAAGATTTGTTACGTTTCCATTTCCGTGACCATTTGCAACAATTCTTCTTCTCCCTTGGTGTTTATCCACCTGCCACTTTCCATACAGACCCCTGACCCCACTCTCTCCCCAAGACTTTCCCCCACAAGACTTTCTCCTTGGCATTCTGTGTGTTTATTTGCGTTAACATTATTTGTACACACGATTGCCTTTTCGCATATTAAAGACGAATTCATAATAAATCCAAAGACTCCATATCTTTGGCAATAATCAGATTGCTTTTCTGTTCTACCGTTTGTCTTCCGTTATCCTGACAGCCCATCACCATGATTTCCCCTTTAAACCAGGCCCCACTGTACTAGCCCAGTGGCCCCGCTACAAAACACTACTTAATTCAATGATAATTGAAATTATTTCACATTGCTTATCCCATTCACAGCCTCAAGTGCTATTTTGTACACTATACTCTCCTTTCTCCATATAGAATAATTTGCATATATGTAGGTCCTTGTTCTGGTTCAGCCTGGTATACTATACTACAAATAATTTCGCAATTTTCGCGGCAACAACAAAGGCCCCGGGAATTTAGCTCTGGACTCTGTGTGTGGAGTGGCCTGAAACAATTCCGGGGAATTGAGTTGGAGTTAATCAGGGAGCATTATCCCCGGAATGTTCACCGCACTTCAGTGCCCAATTTACGCCCCAACGGGCAGTCAAAGGACACAGCCGATGCCCCCAGGATCAGATCAGATATGTATATATACTATATATGCATATATATAGAGAGTGGGAGGTTTAGAATTGGAGCAGAAGTGCTGGAAAATAAACAGAGGCTTGAAGAGGGCTACTAGGCGGTAAAGAGCTTTAATTTTTAAGCAAAAAGATAGTTAATTACTTTTATTATTAATAGGGTATTATATTTAAAAAATTTAAAAATAAAATAGAAAGAAATGTCTACCATGCTAGGCCTTAAATATTAAACCTCATAATGCTCCTACTCCCCTTTATGGCTTAAACCCCGTTTAAAGGAACTCTGAGTATCCTACAATGAGTCCAGAACCCTCGCCCTTTCCTAGGAGGTCCTGAAAGGACTAAAGACTCCGCCTGGACATACTTCAAGCGTTTAATATGCAACGGCATATAACTTTGTCAAACAATTAAACAATTTTGGTTGCAAGGAGCAGGCTACACAGCTGAGGGGCTAAGGGGCATCCTCTCTACCAGCTGCGGCCGCTGCAGAGGATGTTTAGTGCCACGCCCACATTCTTGAGCAGGCTGCCCCAATCGATGCTCGAAAATAGCCCCTTGGCCGGCGAGTCCATGTTCCTGCCGGTATTGTCGGCCACCTGATTGGATCGTTCTGTCTGGAGGATGCCCTCCTGCTGCCACTCGCCCATCAGCTCGCGGAGATTGGGCCTCTGGGACATGGCGACAGTGTAGATGAGCAGATAGCACACCTGGAGCCTGGCCTGGCGGATTTGGCAAACGGCGACGCAGCGCAACACGGAGCCGCACAGCGATTGGCCCCAGCAGGCGCAGGCGGGCGCCCGATCACACGCCACATTCAGATCCTGCTGCAGTTGGAGTTCCTCTTGGCCCGGATCCTCCGGAGCACAGATCATCGGATACAGGGCATCCATTTCCCCGGAATAGAAGAGCCACGTCGACGGGGTTATGCCGTAGGCGGCGCAGACAGCCTCGTTGGCGGGGTCGCCTTCGACCTGGGAGTCCGGCCCGCCGCCCACCACCTGGAACACCAGATTGGGCGCGTCCAACGGCCGTTGGCCCACTTTCGCCCACACGTGCGACCGCTCGTGACTCCGCAGCGGGCGCAGGTAAGGAGTTCTGCTCTCTATCAGCACCCAGTGGAGCAGGGCCACCCGCTCGTCCGGCAGCGGGCCCCAGGGCATGTGCTTGGCTTTCAGCTGGCGCCGCAGCTGCAGCATGTCCGGCAGATTGCTGACCGCCAAGGTCAGGCCGTCCAGCTTTCGCCCGACCAGGGGCGGACGAACTGTGGGCGGAGCACAGGCGCGGAACAGGCTTCGGCTGCGATAGCTCATCACCGAGGCGACGAACAGCATCCATTTGGCGTCCACGCCAATGAGATTGTGCTCCAGGAGTTCCCGCAAACGTTCCATGGCTCGTATCTGAGAGCAAAAACATAAAAGCTGGGGAAGTAAGCCTAGTTGGACTCCAACTCACCTGCCACGCACTGAAAGGAAGCGCTATGGCCGTTTCCGGGGTACTCGGGCTGATAGAATCTCGATCCTGACGAGCATGCTCATTCTGATTGTCGCCGCCCGAACACCAGGTGGACCACAAGTTGTGTCTCCCCTCCAAATCATTCAGCCGGAAGTAGGAGCTGAATATGGACTCTGAAACGGTCTCAGAGATATAGCCACTCGAAGAGCTTGCGCCGCTAATGTTGCTTCTAGTACTTGAAGAAGATGAAGTGGTTGATCCAGGACCACCAATGCCTACACCATTACCCGAACCGGATATGAAAGCCTGCCCCGCCCACATGGGGGCGCGGTGGCTGAAGGTGGTGTCCACCCAGGGTGGAAGATCGTAGGCGATCGTGTCGAAGAGCCTGTGATAGGGCGCATTCGAGTGCATTGTGGACGTTCAATTTAGAAGGGTCGTGTCTTTTGGATTGAAATGTAACTCTGTTTAAAAAATATATATTATATTATGGGGGTTATTAGTTTAAAAACTCGTCGAGGGAATATCTGGGGTCTTCCGAAACAAACCGAAAAGTGTCACAAAATCTTAGAGTCTCCCACACGAGACTGGTGCTGGATCTAAGTGAAAACACCAGGACTACTGAGTTAGCAAAAAAGTTGATTAAGTCTTGACCATTTTTCTTAGCCCCTCACTCCCCTGACTTGGCTAAATAAATTAGCATAATGAACCGATTTTCCGCAACTATAATGAATCACTTAACCCGAAACCCGAACAAAAAACAAATGCCATCACTCCTTTTTTTCTTGGCCAAGTTTCTTGTCTTATCCTAGCTATATATAGATAGGATACACCCACACACATATATACATATATATATATATAAATCTTGAAGGCCAATTCTCGGCGGAGTTGTAGCCAACTAATTTTGGGACGCCGGGTCGTTCAATTACAAAACTTTTGCCAGCCAAGTTAATAACATTTATCGCCTCCCATAAACCATATACTTCTTGTGTGTATAGGTATTAGTATTGATGCTAGTGTGTGTGTGTGTATTAGTGCGTGTCCTTATGGGGGTTGGAGTGTGAAAAAGTTACTGCAACAAGTTTAACCTTTTTTCCGGCTTGGCAATCGTCTTGGTCCCGGATTGGCGCTTCCGGTTTGCCAACCGAAGAGACAACATTGACTTATTCCCCATACAAATTGAATCGAAATACACAGAGAAAAAGTATAGCTATCTTTAAAAGTCTTTAAATATTTAAATTAACTTATAAGCATAATAATTGATAGGTTTATCAAGCTCAAAGACCACTAATGGCTTTGGCTTTCAACTCGAATCCCTTTGAACTTGAGTGTAAGCCCCCATACTTTTCTTTCTCTGTAATCTTCTAACCTTACTTAGCTTAATAGTTTAGCAATTCCTTTAAGTACTTGAGTGTTGTCAGCGGCAGAGTGCCAGGACAGGAGGAGGACAGCAGAGGTGCAGGACCTGTTGAGGTGTCTCGCAGGATAACTGCGGTAATCTTTTGCAAAATGCATTCCTCCAATTGCATTTCGGTTTCTGGTCGATTTCGTGGCATCCGGTTGCCATTAGATAATTGATAACTGCCGCAAAAATTAATCCAAAAACGGGAAATGCTACATTTCCTCTAACTCTCTATCTGGCCATCTAAACTACTAAGATTTATTCGCTTTGGGCGGCAAATAGAAGATAGATGTTCCATAACCATAAAAACGGGGGGTTAGAGAGGTGTGTTTTAAGAGGAGATGAAGCTTAATATTCCTTTAGATTTTAAAGGACATGCAGGCAGCAAGGGCCAAAAGGTCAGGTCGAGTCATCTAGAAGGGAGGTGCTGGCCCTGGGCCATGAATGATTTTGATATTGATTTGGAAGCCAGATAACTGGGGGTTTATAGTTCTCAGACTAAGTAAGCCAAGTAACTATTCGAAAAAGCCAAATTTATAGTAGGCCTAGATATTAGAGTTCTACAAATACTAAGCCCAGAAACATCACTTCACCAAAGCAACTGAACAAAGCAAGACAGGTCTAGCTGATATACAGAACAAATACAAATTTCATCAAAATAAAATTAAAGAAATGGATACTTTCAAGATAATTAACAAGGGCCGATGCCGAGGCATCGTCAATATTACAAAGGAACCGGAATCGAAGCCGAAACCGGAACCGAAAGCGACCGAGGACAACCAAAAACAGAAGTCACCATCTAAAAGAACATCGTCGCCCAAAAAGAAGGCTCAACTTACCCCACAACAAATGGATATCGTCAACCAACATGTTATTGGAACATTTGGGCTTGAATTCGATCACAGTAAAGAAGACTGTGTTGAGATAACTGCTACAGTTCAGGAGCCGAAGCTACCCTCTACAGAGCCGGTACCTCCCGGCGAAGATAAGCTACATGAGCTGTATGTCTGCAACACCGACGGTGAGCTGGTGGCAACAATACCTTTTCTAGAAAGCGACTACCGCGAGGTCCTCCGCGAGGCCCTTGAGCAATCCCGGACCTCCGAACAGGGCAACCAGTAGTCCTGACGTTAGTTTTTCTTCATTCCTGAGAGTTTCTGTTTCATTGCCCTTCTAAAGATTTCCAAAATTATCAATGACCTTCTCTGGACCCGCACACACAGTCTACATATACATATATATCGTTTCGAGGACTTTCCATGGAGGGGACAGACCAATCCTGGGCCCAGAACCACCCCGAAGAGCCCTGAGCGGAAAATCGGATTTACGAAGAAACCTCTTTGCTGCCACAAACTTTCAAAATTCAATTTCGTAATTTCTATAATCATTTAATAGTAAAATCAACTGTAAGGCTTCGGGCATTTAAAATAAATTGTTTTGTTTCAATTCAATGAAATTTAATGGGACTACTGAGTGAAAAGTCGGAGGGAAAAATGCTAAAAATAATCTGAAAAATATAAACAAATATTATTAGCCTAGGTTGCCATTAGATAAGTGCCGCAAAAATTAATCCAAAAACGGGAAATGCTACATTTCCTCAAAGTCTCTATCTGGCCAACTAAACTACTAAGATTTATTCGCTTTGGACGGGAAATGGGATAATAAAATTTGTACTTACAAAGGACATGGGAATATAAATAATGTCGGGAGATAGGATTTAAGGGGATGTTAGGGTATAGATGTTCTGTAACCATAAAAAAGGGAGTTAGAGGGGTTTGATTTAAAAAGGAGATGAAGTTTTATATTCTTTTAGATTTTAAGAGACATGCAGGAAGAACTGGGCCAAAGGTCAGGCCGAGTCTTTAGAAAGGTTTATGGTCATAAAGGCAAGAAGTTAAAAAAAAGGTATCTTTGATTTAAAACGAAGCTTGTATACCCATTTTTTTAATTTCAAAGGACTCTTATAATCCTGTAGATTCTACAGAAAGTGAACAGTTTAGAAAAAAGTAAAAAGAGACAATTTTTAAGTCTTTATAAAATATATATGTGATTCCCTGTGATTCCAACGGACAGGCGGGAAGTTTATATTTCCCTAACTTTATTTAGAAAAAAAAATATATATATATAATAAGACCAATCTCCCAAGGACTCCTCTTAAAATAAAAAAGTCCCCCTCAACATTGTGGAGTTGAAGAAAATCTTTTGCTTTCACTGAAGTTTTTACAACTCAACTTGAGCTGAAAAATGGCTGAAATATTTGCCATCTAACGGCATTTTAAAGAGGGCCAAAACGATATGCAAAGCACTTTCTTTTCAGGTGAAAGTCTGGCGGAAAAAAAGGCACCCAGGTGAAAGGGCGAACAAGGGGCAGAAAAAAATAAAAATAAAAATAAAGACAAAAAATCGCATGCCTATGCATCGTTCCATTCTGTTTTATGGTTCATAAACTTTTGCTCCTTGGTGAGTCCTTTTTTTTTTTATACAGGATGTGTTTGTGTGTGTGTGTGGGATGCCTCTGCCTCCATCACCCATCACCCGGACCAGAGCAGGTTGAATAAAAAACTGATTTGTTTTTCCCTTTCAACGTTTTGTTGCCGGCTCTCGCACTGCCTGTCGGCTGATTTGTGCCATTTGTTGCCACCAAAATGTGGCAAGTCTGTGGAGTCCGTGTGTGTGTGGGGGGCGGGGGATAACATATGGCACACACTTGAAAATAATCAACATCATCATCAGCATCATCATTACACTGACGAGTTGTTAATGATGAACATAATGATGACAGCAGCCCCCACCGAACTGATGAGAAACGCTTTGGGCCAACAAAGTTGTTAACATAAAATGGCTCACTGAACCAGGCAAAAAAAAAAATCACCCATACACATAAGCATATTTTTTTTTCTTTTTTTTTTTATAAAAAAATACAACTTTTTCCATGAGATTTCCTTGGAGTGGTATTTACCTTGCCGTGTCCGTTTAAACACTTACACCTTTAATAGTCCGCATCTGTCATTGCAATCGTTTTGGTTTCTTTTGGTTCTTCCCATAAATATAAACATGTTTACTGAAAAGAAGAAAAAGAAAAATCTCACCGCATTCACATCAATTTTCCGGCTGTATTATTGATCGAAAGGAAAAGCCAGACCCAGAGCCACGGCCAGGAAAAATGGTGAAAATTTCATTAGATTTTTGCATTTGAAGAAGGTACGAGAATAAAAAAAAGATTGAGGGTTGGCTTTTGAGGGGTGACTTTGGCCTTTTTTTGTTGAGGGAGAATTTAAAAACTTTTCATGTTTTCCCTTTCCCGTTTTTTGGTGCTGGCCCTGGGCCATGAATGATTTTGATTTTGATTTGAAAGCCAGCCAACAGGGCGTATGAGAGATGCTCGTAGAGTACTGGGGGTTTATAGTTCTCAGACTAAGTTGGCCAAGTAACTATTCGAAAAAGCCAAATTTATAGTAGGCCTAGATATTAGAGTTCTACAAATACTCAGCCCAGAAACATCACTTCACCAAAGCAACTGAACAAAGCAAGACAGGTCTAGCTGATATACAGAACAAATACAAATTTCATCAAAATAAAATTAAAGAAATGGATACTTTCAAGGTAATTAACAAGGGCCGATGCCGAGGCATCGTCAATATTACAAAGGAACCGGAATCGAAGCCGAAACCGGAACCGAAAGCGACCGAGGACAACCAAAAAGAGAAGTCACCATCTAAAAGAACATCGTCGCCCAAAAAGAAGGCTCAACTTACCCCACAACAAATGGATATCGTCAACCAACATGTTATTGGAACATTTGGGCTTGAATTCGATCACAGTAAAGAAGACTGTGTTGAGATAACTGCTACAGTTCAGGAGCCGAAGCTACCCTCTACAGAACCGGTACCTCCCGGCGAAGATAAGCTACATGAGCTGTATGTCTGCAACACCGACGGTGAGCTGGTGGCAAAAATACCTTTTCTAGAAAGCGACTACCGCGAGGTCCTTCGCGAGGCCCTTGAGCGATCCCGGACCTCCGAACAGGGCAACCAGTAGTCCTGACGTTAGTTTTTCTTCATTCCTGAGAGTTTCTGTTTCATTGCCCTTCTAAAGATTTCCAAAATTATCAATGACCTTCTCTGGACCCGCACACACAGTCTACATATATATACCTAAGTTACGAGGACTTTCCATGGAGGGGACAGACCAATCCTGGGCCCAGAACCACCCCGAAGAGCCCTGAACGGAAAATCGGATTTACGGAGAAACCTCTTTGCTGCCACAAACTTTCAAAATTAAATTTCTTAATTTCCATAATCATTTAATAGTAAAATCAACTATAAGGCTTCGGGCATTTAAAATAAATTGTTTTGTTTCAATTCAATGATTTAATGGGACTAGTGAGTGAAAAGTCTGAGGGAAAAATAAAATCGGAGGGATAAAAATTACTTGATAAATATAAATAAATATATTAATTTTAATATATTTAATATATTTTCCATTAAACCAAACCCAACCCATTATAAGCTTTAAAAGTCTCTTTCGTAAGCGATAATTGAGGCCTGCCAATAACTCTCAACATATATCCTCCTACCACCCTGGCTTAGGGCTTATATTCAAATATATTTTCATACAAATATACACTGTATATGTAGATTTGTATATAAAACGACAAGACCCCAAAGAACATGCTATCAATTTTATTTTTATTTATTTTTTCGGCCCTGCCCCTGGAAAGCGTGTGCCTCGCATTTGTTTGCTCTTGGCTCAGGCTGAGCATATTTTGTAGCTCGTAAAAGTTTTTGATATAAAATGTAAACAAAAGCGAAACGCCATCACTGCCAACATATAGCGACCGGCACTGACAGAAAAAAGTAAAAGGAAATTTTAAAAAATTTAAAAGAAACTAAAAGATAAAGAAACTTCTAAGAAGCTATTTCCTGTTTTGAAAGCCAAGAAAAGTAACTAAAAACACTCAAAGGAAAAGCTTTTTAATATTTATATATAATTTTTTGTAAAACCTTACAGCCTTTTCTCTCAGTGCTTTGCTCACTCAAAATTATGGCGCGTTTTGTAACCAGCAAGAGGCCAAAACGAGTTTCGTCTTTTGCTTGTTTTTGTTGCGGCTTCTGGTTCTTTTTTCCCCCTTCTTGTTGTTTTTTTGGCCTGTTTCCCTTTCCTTCCGCCATTTTGGGTGGCTCCTACTATGTGCCTGTGTGTTTGCTTTGGTGGATGTGTGTGTGTGTGTGTGAGTTTGTGCTCAACGAGTCCTTTCAATGCTCGATGCTCACGCAATTGCACGTATTAATTAAAAAGTTCAGGGTCAGGCCCCATCAGACAGACATCAGCTGGCTGAACAAGGGCCTCCCCCTCAAAAAAAAAAGGGGTCAACGGCAGGGTCAGGTCAAGAAAAGACAGGGGTAACAGGGACCCTAACCCTTCAACACGAATTATTTTTAGAAGGGCCAACAGTTTCAGTCAAGGGAGTGTTGGTAGCTGCTTTTTTATGATTTGTTTACCTTGCCCTTAAAAATTTTGTAAGCAAGTTTGTAATGATTAGAAATTATTATAAAAACTCCATAAAAATCTGTAAATACCAAACAAAAACCATAAAATAATATCCTTATGTATTTTAAAAACTAAAATATATAAACTTTTAAAGTAAAAACATTACAAACCATTTAGGGAATTGGTCAAAAGCAATAATAGTAGCTTGTAAACAGGCCATTTATCAGAAACTGTTGCCAAAAAAAACTCCATAACCCAGAAAACAAGCAAGGACTCTCAAAGGACATAAGTACACACAACAGAACACAACCCAACTCATACAAATACACATACATATACACTGAACAAAAAGACAGGGGCTCCACGCAAAACTGTGCGTAACTATAATTAATTTCATTTTAGACTGGTTAGCAAATAAACGAGCAAACGATGTGGTGGCTTGCTTAGCTCTTACGAGTCACCCACCGAGAACAACCCAAAAACAGTCCACTGAACCATCCGGCAAACAAGTTGCCCATCCAACCACCCATTTAGCCACCCACCAACCAGCCCATTTCTCCACCCACTTGGCCAACCGTCCTCCTTTCCATATAACCCATTCCCCTCCTTTTTTGAACGAGACACTATTTTTGACATCGCTCTTGTTGCCATGTTGTTGGCACTTGACTGCCCAACTTTTGGCCCTGCCACTGGCCACGCCCACTTTTTTGAAGACTACCACACCGCCGCCCACTTATGGTAACTGTTGCTCATGTTGCGGGATTTCATTTTGAGTCTTTGAGTTTGAGTTTCAGTTTTATTTGCGGGTGGAGGTTGGAGGCTGGGAATGGGAGTGGTAGTGGAAGGATGCCTTTGAAGGGTTTTCTGGACAACCCTTTGTTGCCCTGCAACCCTTGTCAAAAATTTCAACAAAATTATTGATTCAACTTGAATGCCAAATCATTTTCCATCTTCCATGCCAGAAAATAAGCAGGAAGAGATGAAAAAAAAAAATAACCTAATCGCCTGGAACTCATTAAGTTTCGTTTCCTTGCGAAATATTTTTGTTTGCCGACTTGGGCTCGTTTTGAAATTGATTATTTCCCAGGAAGATGGTTGGTAGATGGCTTCTCTACTAATCAAGGGCATTTCCAAATTCCGAAATGGTTCAAATTCCAAGCAAAGACACTTGAAAAAGTCTCAAGATGTCTGAAGGTTTCAAATTGGATGTTTGTCTTTGACGAGAAATGGGGGAATGGCTTTAATGAGGATTTGCATTTCAACTTCAAACTTAATATCCACCTCAGAAAAGCTTACTACTAATCCCTTAAAAACTAAACCACATTGGAAGACAAAATACCTTAAGCAATATACCCTTAAAAAAAATGTTTCTTTTTTAACTAAACTCAATCTTTAACCAAAAAACTTTCCCCAAAAAACCCTTGTTCGGCAAAAATCCTTTTTCGGCCACCCAAACTAATGAAACAACTTTTCAACAAAAGGAACCAAAGTTCTCCACTCCTGCCTCAGGAATTTGTTTAAAAATCTATATAACATTTGTATATATATATTGATAAGCATATGTAGGTTAAGAGGGGGAATGGGTAAATATTTTTCTGCGTGACCTTGCTTAAATAAATAAATGCAGGATGGCAAGGAAAGGGATAAACCCTCTCTCTCCAGTTCGGAGCTCAAGCATAAAGCCCCCTGATCCGAAACTACTCCACAGTTGGTTGGGCTGTAAGTCATCCCAAGATGATTCCATCAAATATGCATGGCCCATCATCATCATCATCGCCGCCGCCGCCGCCATCATCTCATCGCAACTAACTTATCCACCATCTCATCGTTGTCCTCATTCTGACCTCATCCTGCGTCCTGCCTCAGTCTTCGTCCTGCTGTCCTTCTTTACAGTCTCCATCGGTATTGGCATCGGTTCTCATCCAGTTCCGAGCTGTCCATTTGAATTATGCATGCATAGACAGCAGAATTCGACCAGGGACGGGGGAGTGCCACAAAAAAAAGGGGGCGTTTATAGGGAGGACAGGGTGGAGCTTGTCAGCACCACGAAAGCGCAGCGTGGCGCCTAGCAAGGAAATTAGATTTCCCCTACAACAATGCCAGCCAGCGAGGGGTATTTGTGTGAGGTTACACTCAGAGAAAAAAGTCCCAGTCCTGGTTGTGATAATTTTTTAAAAAGATCAAACAGATTTCTTTAATTAACTTAATTTTTTAAACTCATAAGCCCCTGCTATTATTAAAAAAAAAAAGCCCCAAATTTCTTCACAGTGTATGTGTATTTAGGTTGCATGTTTGTATGTGTGTGTGTGTGTCCTTAAAGGACAGTTGGACCAAACGGCTTAAGTGTTTTCCCAGCGCCTTTTCACTCGATTTGCATAATGGTCGCGGTCGGCCCTGAAAAGTATGCTACAACTTTTTATCAACTTTGTCAGCGGAAATTATGCTCAGCACGACTTTCTATATAATTTATATTATATGTGTGGGGTCACTTACCCTTCGATTATAAAAAATACAAAAAACTTTAATGTGTGTGTGCAAGAGAGAGGGGATACTGTAAGAGAGAGAGAGATGGTAAATATCTCACCTACTATACCTACACATAAAAACACACTTTAATTATTTATTTATTCAAATGGCTGCCTGGCTTCTAAGCCGAAAAGCCCTTTACAAAGCCAAGCAAACGAAGCTCAAATAAAGGGGATAGAGGAAATGAATGGGGAAATGCAGGAAAATGAGAAGAAAGGCACAAAATCAAATAAGAATAAAAGTGAAAGTGAAAGCGAAAGGCAAAAGCAGAAGCAAAAGCGGGCATTTCTCTTTAACTTTCCAAAGGGGGCCAGGCCAGAAGCAAAGAAATTGAAAGTGGCACGCGTAAATTACTTAATCCTACTTTCCAAGTACTTACGTTGAACGCAACACACACACCCATACATACATACACCCGCAGCTACACACACACACATACTTAGACACCGGGGAATGCCTACACGTACTTTTTGGTCCTTTGATCTAATTTACCAAACATTTTCAGGTATTCCAACTTTGAATGCCAAAAACGAAACCCAAGATGATGACAAAAAAACCCAAAAAAAATAAAAGCAGGGAGTAATAGACAGAGAGAGAAAGATGATGAGTGAAAGAGAAGGAGAGAAAATAAAATGAAAATTTTTAAATGAAAATGGCCTCAAGTATTCGGAGGACTAGAGAACATTCAGACATTTCATGTGTCTCCGCCAGACCTTGGCAGTTAATCAATGAATTACTGAGCCACCCACCTCAGCCAGAATCACCTGGGCTAGACCATGCCACCCCACTCCCTCACTCCCCCCCGCCCCCTTGTGGCCTTTTTTGGTCCACGGCAATTACATCAAAAGGAAACTGTTAGCAGAAGCCCAAGCAATATTTCAGAGAGGGCCCCCTCTCCGACAGCCCGACAGGACCTCTAAAAATTAACTAAATAGCTGACGAAAAAAAAAAAAAACACAGCCAACCACCCTCATAGCCACCCCTAAGCTCCCCACTCCCTTGGCATTTTCCCTCTCTCTTCTGGCAACATGAAAAGTCACTTAGAAAAAGGACCTCCAAAAAAAAATAGAAAATAAAAAGCAGCTGCCCAGTGTCCGGCAGGTGCCAAAAGTCTCTGAAATTCTTGCTTTCTTTTTCGGAATTGCATTTTATTGCCAGGACAACAATTTACAAAAAAAATAAAAGGTAGAAAAAATACAAAAATAAAAAAAAGAGCGAAAAAAAGAAGGAAAAATTGTGAATAGAACCGCAACGTCAAATGCTGAGCATTTAACTAAATTGTTTCATTTAGCAAACCGAACAAAGTGGAACTGTTGGGAATAAAATGTTGAAAAAAAAAAAAAAAACAAAATAGAACAGCCACAGGACGAGAAAGCAGATAAATGAGTTCTCAAGGATAATGCAGATTAATGGACCTGGGGGGGATTAAAGCTTATCAAATTTTATTGATGCCGAGACAACATGGAATGAATATTGAAAAGACACGAAAATGCTAAATTATGGAAAAAAATCAATCAAATTAATGTGGCTTATTACAAATTGTTTTTTGAAATACTCATAATGAAGTTTTTAAGGGATAAGCCTTTAAACTATTAGTATTGTGACTTGAAAGGTATAAAGTCAGAGAGCTTTATGAGCTATACTAGCTTTCAAAAACGCAAAAAAGTGGTTTAGCAGCCAACGCTTTCTTTCATTTCCTTTGCAGCTGATGTGTTGCTTTTCCATCAATTCGCGAATGAAAAGTGACATGCACTGAGAAAAAACTGTAGGCAATGCTACATAAATATATTAATCTTAAAAATTTAAATTTAAAAAAGAAAAAAAATAATAGACAAGTTGGGAGGATTATAATCCAGTTTCAAGACAATATATGATAATTCCCGGTACTGCTCTCATCTCTTTTTAATTCTTTTTAGTTTTTAAAAGATTATAATGCTAGAAAGTATATAATTTTTAAAATTTAAAAGAAAAATAAAACACATCCTTATCTTTCTCTATAAAATCTCCCTTGACCTGTTCTCAATTTCCGTGAACTCTCCGGCCGTGTCCGCGTGCAGCTGGTACGGCTTAGCCACAAAACCGGACAGAATCCACGGCCGGAGACTGAGACTCGGGACGAAGGACCGAGACGGAGCACGGGAACTGCGGAAAAGTGAGAAAATTGAGTTGAAAATTGTTCGAGGCACACACTTCAGAGGGAAAGCAAATTGACAGCCGGGACTGTCAATCAGCCGGTCGCCCACTTGAGCCTGCCAGGTGCTCCTTGCTTCTTGCTCTCCGTCCTCTGCCTCTGCTCCTGGGTTGTCCTGGCTACGGTTTCAGCTTCAACTCGTGCCACCTTTAACCCCTGTTGTCATCCACCCACCCTGCAAAAAAAAAAGTATAACATGATGACGATGATGATGACGAAGATGATGAATCCTGATGCCAGCAACTGCCAGATGCTGTTGTGCACTCGAAATTGATTAAGCTTCTGCTGTTTTCTGACTTTCTGGCCGAAAAACTTTTAGCCAAGTTTTGAAAAGCAGATTGCAGTTGATACAGACAGATAGATACTTCAAAAATGCAAGAAATAGTTTCGGGGTTTTGGCGCAAAATTCGTGGAAAGTTTACTCACAGAAATGTGCTTTAGGTCCTGACTGACAGAATCCTTCACAAAGAGTTACTTCTAACTTTGTGCAGATTGATTTCTTGACAAAAAAAAGAAACTAGAAACATAGTTCCCTACGTAAAAAGTACTTCCAGTCTACAACTAGTCTTTCGTCGATTTACAAATTTTTAATTTGTTTCCAATTTTCTAAAATGGCATTAGCCGATGTTTGTAAGATCACAAATGCCTCGTACCTAAATGTCTAAATGCTAGCACCAGCAACTTCCAGGATCCCTACAACCTGGCGCCACCGCCTCTGGGAGTGCATCCCACCACCAGCATGAACTTCATTAAAGCTCATGCCGAGAAGACCGGCATCAAAATCGATTCTGATCACGGAACCACCACCGTCGGTATGCACTACCAGAGCGGCATTATCCTGGCCGCCGATTCCCGTACCACCTCAGGCTCGTATATTAGCTCGCAATCGGCGAAGAAGATCGTCGAGATCGGGGACTCCATGCTGGCGACAATGGCCGGAGTAAGCGCCGACGGTGCCTACTGGTTGCGGGTCCTGAGGCGGGAGTGCCGCCTCTACGAGTTGCGCCACAAGGAGTCGATGTCGGCGACCGCCGCCAGCAAAATTCTCTTCAATATTTGTTACAAGCACCGTAGAGACGGCCTGGAAATGTCCATCCTGCTGGCCGGACCCGGGCGGGTCAAGGACGAGCTAGAGCTGTACTACGTCGACTCGGACGTTTTGCGCCAAAAGGGAAAGCTATTTAGTATAGGCAGTGGATCAGATTCAGCCTATGGGTTGCTGGACTCTGAATACGAATGGGAGTTGGAGGACGAGGCGGCCCACGAGATGGTGCAACGAGCTCTCTATTATGCTGCCATGAAAGACGCCTATACAGGCGGCTCAGTTGTAGTCCATCTGGTGACACCGAAAGGTTGTACAAAAATGTCCAATACGGACTTGGCGGAGCTGCACGAGAAGTACCAGTATCTTCTAAATGGCGAAGAAGATACCGATTCTGATCCATTACCTGCTCCTTCTCAATAGCATGTTTGTTCTGGAAATATTTAAAAAATTATTAGTTTGTTAGAATTTGTTTGTTAGGGAGTTTTTCGGTTTCGAACCATAAACTTTTGGCCAAGAAACTTGAGACTTTCTCTTGATTGCCTGCGAGGCTTAATTCATCTGCCATTCCGGGCAGCTATTTGCTGAAAAAAAAATATATATGTTTCTCGAGGCTTAAATGGAAGCCAATAGAATTTTAAATCAAAGAATAGAACTGAAAGCTCTGGGGCTTGGTCTGGTGGGGAATTCGTGTAATAAATTATTTAAAAAACCAATAGGAAAAATTCTTTAATAATCTTCCCTGAGAAAAATGTTTAAAATGAAAACAAACTACAAATTTCAACAGAAAACATTTCAACAATATTAGCCATTTATTTAATTAATTTTAATAAAATTTATATTTTACTTTGGCATGTCTTGTGTTAAATTTTTTTTTACTTTAAGAACTTATAAATATTAATATATTAATATAAAATATGAATAATCCATTATAATATTTTTAGGAATATCCCTAGTAGCTTAGTGACCCAAAAAACCCTCAAAATAATTATTAAAAAACAAAACCTCCCTTGTACATTGAGAAATGCATATTAATTTGAAATATCGAACCCCATCCAATAATTTTAAACCACCAAATACTTTTTTCTTCGATTTTTTCCAGTGTATCTCTGTGTCTCTGTGTGTGTAGCAAACCAAGTACAGTTAAACCCATTCAAAAATATTACCAAACCAAAAATAAAAATCCCGCCCCATCAACAAAATTATATATATATATAAATATTAACTATATGATATAGTCACCCCAAAAAAAGATATCCCGAAAAAAATCCCATATTTTTTCCATTAGGAAAAAAATATATATTTTAAAATTTGAAAAAAAGAGAAAAGAAAATACAAAAAGGAAATACGAGGAAATCAAGGATCTGAAGGGCCGCTGGAAGAGCCGCAGGAACGGCGGCTGACAAGGATAACGCTACCAAGTTAATTGGCTGAAAGGATCGAAAAGGATCGAAAACATGCGCCATGTCAAAACTGCGGCATTACAGGTCCATGGATCAGCCCAGCACATCCTGCGTGGTCATACGCAAAAAGTTAGCACAATTTTCAAATTTTAAATCAAAACTAAAAGCTCAGGATAATGAGACAAGCTTTGCATTGCCACTTTCCTTTTGCCAAAAAAAGCTCTACACCAGCTTTCTCTCTACTCTGCTCTTAAACCTTCGAACTTTCTACAGCTTTCTTCTTTCTTCAACTGCACCAACAAAACAAAATATATAAAAAACTTTGTATATACAAATCCAATAAACTCACCTTTCACCTTTCTTCGAACTTTCGCTTGAAGCTCTCTCCATTTATTGCATGATAGCTTTTGCTTTTCAGATTTTCTGGCTTTTCTCAGGCTTTTGTCGGCCATTGCATGCCTACAGGTGAAAGCCTTTCACTCGCGAGAGCTTTCCAGCCAGCCAGCTAAGCCGATTCCAAAAATAACATCTTTCATTCAAACACTTGGTCCTTGCATGTCCAAGTCACTTCTTCATTTTCCGATTTTCTCCTCCATTCTTCCTCAAAATTTTCCACTCCAGATCGCTTTCACTTTGTTTCCTGCCTGCTTTTCATTTAATTTTAAAAAATAATACATTTATTTCTCCAGTTTTGTGCGCGTCATGTGGAAATTTGGATAATACGACTATTTTAATGAGTGCACTAATCCTGTATCCTTATTTTTCCAGGACTATGACAGCCATTTGCTTTGTCTGCAACCTGCCCATCATGTCACACCAGGTGGGTTTGGTGTGGCAGGGCGGCAACGGCTGGGACGATCTTGTCCGGGAACAGGTAAGCTTTGGAAAAAATATTGGAAATTCAATAATTCATTTAAGATTAATAGGTCCAATCATAAACATTGAAAATTAGCTTCAAGTTCACTTCCAACTTTGTCCTTGAACCTTGAAGTTATTTCCGAGACTTATTTTTTGAGACTTCGATTTCCCTCATTCTGCATCAAAATCCTGAGACGAAATATTTTTTAGATTTTTTGTCCATTTTTCCTGATGGGACCCCTGGAAATGTGGTTTTCCCCTATAGGGCTCACTGCGATGGCTATATCTTCCCCAATTCTCACCCGATTCTCAAGCGGAGTACCTTAAACGATTTCTAGGTCGATTCTCCACCATTCTGCATCAAAATCCTTAGACAAAATGTTTTTTCGATTTTTGGTCCATTTTTCCCTATGGGTCCCCTGGAAATGTGGTTTTCCCCTATGGGGCTCACTGCGATGGCTATATCTTCCTCAATTCTCATCCGATTCTCAAGCGGAGTACCTTAAACGATTTCTAGGTCGATTCTCCACCATTCTGCATCAAAATCCTGAGACAAAATATTTTTTCGATTTTTTGTCCATTTTTCCTGATGGGATCCCTGAAAATGTGGTTTTCCCCTATGGGGCTCACTGCGATGGCTATATCTTCCTCAATTCTCATCCGATTCTCAAGCGGAGTGCCTTAAACGATTTCTAGGTCGATTCTCCACCATTCTGCATCAAAATCCTGAGACAAAATATTTTTTCGATTTTTTGTCCATTTTTCCTGATGGGGCCCCTGGAAATGTGGTTTTCCCCTATAGGGATAATTGCGATGGCTATATCTTTCCCAATTCTTATCCGATTCTCAAGCGGAGTACCTTAAACGATTTCTAGGTCGATTCTCCACCATTCTGCATCAAAATCCTGAGACGAAATATTTTTCAGATTTTTTGTCCATTTTTCCTGAGGGGTCCCCTGAAAATGGGGTTTTCCCCTATAGGGCCCACTGCGATGGCTATATCTTCCCCAATTCCTTTCCGATTCTCAAGCGGAGTCTAGGTCGATTCTCCACCATTCTGCATCAAAATCCTGAGACAAAATATTTTTCAAATTTTTTGTCCATTTTTCCCTATGGGTCCCCTGGAAATGTGGTTTTCCCCTATAGGGATAATTGCGATGGCTATATCTTCCTCAATTCTCATCCGATTCTCAAGCGGAGTACCTTAAACGATTTCTAGGTCGATTCTCCACCATTCTGCATCAAAATCCTGAGACAAAATATTTTTTCGATTTTTTGTCCATTTTTCCTGATGGGGCCCCTGGAAATGTGGTTTTCCCCTATAGGGATAATTGCGATGGCTATATCTTTCCCAATTCTTATCCGATTCTCAAGCGGAGTACCTTAAACGATTTCTAGGTCGATTCTCCACCATTCTGCATCAAAATCCTGAGACAAAATATTTTTTCGATTTTTGGTCCATTTTTCCTGATGGATCCCCTGGAAATGTGGTTTTCCCCTATAGGGCTCACTGCGATAGCTATATCTTCCCCAATTCCTATCCGATTCTCAAGCGGAGTGTTTTAAACGATTTCTAGGTCGATTCTCCACCATTCTGCATCAAAATCCTGAGACAAAATATTTTTTCGATTTTTTGTCCATTTTTCCTGATGGATCCCCTAACGGGTTTTTCCCTATAGGGCCCACTGCGATGGCTATATCTTCCCAAACCTCCCCGACTCTCCAATAATCTGCTTATTTTAGACTAAATAAACATCAAATCCCCTCCTATCATCCATTTAGCTGGAGGAGTCCACTATACGACAGCGTTTGGGCGGTCGTCGAGACTCCGCCGCCCAGATCACCACACCGCCGAGCACCTCGCCCCCGCCGGGACTGCAGCGCCGGCGCCGCAGTTCCCTGGCCCAGCTGACCGACATCCTGCGCGAGTGGAGCGGAGGCACCAAGCAGCAGCACCACCAGCAGCAGCAGGCCCAGCAGCAGGCGGCCCGCTCCAAGGCCCAGCTGAATCGGCGAGAGACCCTGGCGGACCTCGCACGGAGCCTGCCGTGGCGCACCTCCACCACCACGGACGCCAGTACTGGGGCAGGCGGGGGATCGGGTGGTGGCACCACCTACATAGCACCGAGGAAGCGCCGGGAATCGAGCGCCGATTCCGGCATACGGAGCATGCGATCGCGACGGGACTCGAATACGGCGGAGTTCGTCCGGCACTGGAACAGGCGAGAGAGCGGGGCAGTTGAGGAGCAGCAGCAGACCAGCACATGCGTCTCCGTTCCCGTCGTCGTGGAGTGCACGAAGAGCGTGAGTACCGATTGACCTTTCAAGCTTTCGACCTTCAACCCTCCGTGATCTTGAGCTTTTTTTCTGGCCACGATGGGACCTAATCTTGGCCAGAAAAGAGAGACTCGAACCCTTGAAACCTAAGCCCCAAACCCTAACCAGGCCCCCATTCCATCCCATCCCCCGCAGGCATCCCGTCGCGGTTCCGGGGAGAGCTACCTTTCCAGCAGCCGGCGGGACAGCACTGTGGCTGGGCGGGTCACCACGCCCCCGCCCCCTGGCAAATACCAAATGGGCAAGAAGCGGGACTCGCTGGCCGCCCCGGAGTTCCCAAACTTCCGGCAGGAGCAGCGCCCATCCACCAGCTCCGCCGGCTCCTGCTCCGACCACTCCACGTCCCTGTACCACCAGCCGAGCACCAGCACTCACCACCTCCACCTGGCCCATCATGCCGCCCTGCAGGTGGACTCCGCCTGCCAGGCCCTGCCGCCGCCGACGATCATCACCAGTTCGGTGACGCCGCCGGCGACAAGTCCGACCGCACCGAAGGGACGCCGCGATTCCACGACGCAGTGCGGCCGCGTCAACCGGCGCGACTCCAAGGCGGGCGTCAGTCCAGAGCGGGCGCCACGTCTCCAGCGTTTGCAGCGCCAGGCCACCGCTTTCGACGAGGGCTGCCTGCCGGGCGGTGGCAGTAGGCGTGGCTCGCAGCCAGCCCTCAGCCCGGATCCGCCGGAGGATTGCGAAAGGCGGACATCGCGACGGGACTCTCTGTCGCCGGACAGCGCTTCACGGGGCGGACGCCGGGATTCGCGGACTCACCTGTCGCCGGATCGCTCCCACGAGCGGGACGGCAGTCCTCGGCGGCACACCCTGCGCCGGCAGAGCAGTTCGGCGGCCCGCTCGCCACGCTCCCCGGACTCCAATAGCTGCTGCTCGTCGCGGGACCCCAGCCCGTGCTCCCGGCCACCCCCACTGCCCACCGTGGAACAGAATCAGCGGCCGGCCATTCGACGGCAGTCCACCACCGAAGAAATCCTGATTGCCCGGGGCTTTCGGCGTCAGTCCACCACGGAGGAGATGATCCGGTGCCGAAATTTTCGTCGCCAGAGCTCCCAGAGCGATGATGTGTGCCGGTGGGTTTAAAGAATTAAATATTTTATTTTTAATTATTTTAATAATTATTTTATTCCTTTAGATATCGCGGCAGAAGAGACTCTTCGGCCCAAATCATAGATGGCACCATCGGCACTATGACCGTGGAAACCACTAGCACTTTTTTTGACTCAAGTACTCAGACAGGTCAGTTTTAAAAGAAATAACATAAAGTATTTAATTATTTTTATAATACAGATATAATATAATCAGAGGGGATATAAGAAACCTAAATTCTTAAGCCAAATAATCCATAAAATATTCAAAAACCCAAAATATATATCTCGCTTAACTTTACTAACTAACTTTAGTAACTCTCTTGCTTAGTTTAAAACAAAAACTTGAAAGTTGTATAATACCTTTAAGAATCATAAACCATAAAAAGGTACTGCGAATGTGGTGGGAAAACCTTGTTTTAAAATTTCTATAGCATACATTCGAGGGCACAAGTACGCTTTCGAAGCTTGCCACATCCTTGCCCCATAGGCCGTAAAGCTTTTGAAAGACCGCCATCCCGATGGCAGGAAGTAGGTCAGTCACAAGGCTTGAAATACATGTTCGAATACAGACCGCCTCGCGAGTCCTGCCAACCGGATGTGAAAAAGCTTTCCGCCAGGAGCTTGGCTCTCAGCTTTTGTAGATGTCCTTGTGGTTGTTGGCGGAAAGCTGGCAACAGCTGATATTTAAGCCGAGCAGCTGTTCGCTGGCCAAGAGCTGACAATCCGGGCCAATAAACCGGAGTTGGCAACGGACGTAGAAGCTGAAGCGGAGACGCTGACGCTGACGGTGACGGGACTCGAAGACGGCGATTCAGTTGGCGTTGAGGACGCAAACGTGCCACAAGCAGCACCATCCGCAACGAAAAAAATACAAAAAAAAAATACCAAAGAAATTGCAACACACGACAGCCGGCGATTCAGAGAGGCAGGCCGTAGTAGCTCCGTGTATTCCATCCACCACCACCCGCCACTCTGCCACAGCTACCACTTCATCATCATCAGAGTCCGGAGTCGGGACATGTATAGATAGTCGTTGTCGGTGTGCCCTCCCCCCCGCCCCGCCAACTATATAGCCGCCGCTGCTGATACACCGCGAGAAACTCCAGCCTGGCCAGCTCTGGCCTGGAATTTGGGAAAAGCGCGAATTTCGTTGGCGGCCATTGCGCATAAATGACTCTAGTGTGCGTGTAGCGTGTACGTGTACCGTATACCGTGTACGTGTACGTGTAACGTGGACGTGTGCGTGTGCCTGTGCGTCCGTGTTTCGTGTTTTTTTTTTGTGCGACAGTGTGTGTGTGTGTATATAATATTATTTTTTTTTTTTTTTGTATTTTTTTTGTACGCCCATCCCGCTTGTACTGCCACAGTTCTGCCACTTTTTTTTTGCTGTGTGTGGAGAAGACTTGCCATTGAGAGATTGCAGTTGTTGCAACTGCCACAAGTAGAAGCAGCCAGCCAGCAGCCGTCACAACAACAACGAAAAGCAGCGACGTGGCCGAGTACGTTGACGTTGGCAGCGACGGCGGCGTTGCTGCCCCGCTGCGCAGTCGACGCCAACAGCAGCAGCAACAGCAGCAACACCATCAGCAGCAGCAGTCGTCCGCGGCAGCAGCATCAGCAGCAACAGCAGCGTCGAGCAGCAGCGCCAGCAGCAGCAGCAATCGCAGTCGCAGCGGTCTGTATAACCGATATCTCATAAATCCATATCCTTTCGAGACTCTCTGTAATCTGTACGGATAGTATGCAACAGGATATGGGCTAATGTTGCGCGTATCCTTTGTTTATTTGGCTCGACGCTTACTTGTTGCATGTGGCAGAAGGGTGTCGACAAAGGGCAGCTTGCAACGCTGGGGGTTATCACAACTTTTTTTTATTAAAAAGGCTTCCCAATGACTTTTTAAAGTTCGTAGGCTTATTTTTATTTTCTTTTTAAAAACTTAAAAATTTAATTTATTTTAAGCTTTACTATTATTTTAAGAATATTTTAAAGTGTTAATTATATGACTTATTTAGTATTTAAAATTCCTTAGTTAAGTTCCTAAATTAAGGTCCTAATTTATAGTTCTGATTAGGAAGAAAAAGAAACATAATTATAATTTCAAGAAATCAAGTTTTAAGCTAAAAACTGTCTAAAAAAAATGTCCACGTCTTAAAAACCAACTAAATCAAGGCATATTTTTTAAAATATAAACTTGAAACTCTTCTTAAGTTTTTCAAGTATATTTTTGTGATCTGGATTTCACCCCAAAAAAAAAAAAAAAACCCCATAAGAGCTGCAGTTTTGCCCAGAAATTTCTCAATTGAAAGCCAAATTGGCAAGAAATTTTTGGCAAACGCACCAGACCCAGCCACGCCCCGCACTCCAGACCGCCCCCTCCCCCGCTTTCTTGGCCTGGCTTTTAATGAATGAAACTGCACCGAGTGGCTGTGCCTGCCAGTGTCTGTGTGACAGCCAGTAAATGAATGAAATGAGTTCTACTTTCTCCCACTTTCTCCGCTGCCATTCGGCAGTCTCGTTATGAATGAAATGCGAAATGGGAATGCGTAGAAATCGAGAGTCTGTTTTCAATCCAGTGACTAGTCTCTGTGTTGCAATGAAAACAAGAAGACCAGAATGTCCCAGAGACGACGACCATTATTCGCCATTTTTTTGCGTCCATGGTACGAATGTGCAACAAGTTTTCTTCGCGAAGCAAGCTATCCTGGTTTTTTTGGCAAACTTTCGTAGAACATTTTGTGGCATTGTGGCAACGGTTGGCATTGGTGGCATTGAAATGCAAAAATTTATTGATTAAAAGTTGTCTGCCACTTTGGCGGACGCGGGGTGTCGGTGATAATTTATTGTTGGCGAGGCAGCTGGCGAAAGTGTGTCCTGTATGCCTCATTTAATATTCAATCTACGGGCGGAATATCCGAATTATGAAAATTAGTTTCCTTGCTTCGGGGGGGCGTTAGCTCATTTCTTTCTCGCAGAAAATCAATGAAATCCTTTTGTCAGATAATCAGATACTTTAAGCTACGAAATTGAGGAGCATCTTAAAGTTTCCCCCCGAAACCAAGGCTCAATTATTTGTCCTGCCAGGGATTTACGATTGGAGGAGATGTCCTGCCAGACGGTCGACATTCGTTCACTAATTAATACCAAGTGTAAGGACACTCACACACACACAAAAAAAAGAAGCAAAAGGAAAGCCAAATCACTTGAATCAATTAAAGCAATTAGTCTCTGGTTTTGGCTACCAATTTCATTTATCTGTCTTCTGACACAAACGAAAAAACAAAAAACAGGACACCCAGAAGTCAAGGATAATCAGCATTAAAGTTAAAGCATTTTTAATCCATTAAGTTATAATAGTTGGGGGCTATATAGTTAATCAAAAGAACACGGCAAAGGATTATCAAGAACAATTGGCAATTACCATTGGCTGGTAGTCCAATTAGTATCTCAACTGCCCATCGATTACATTAATTTTTATAATTGCGTTTTTACGATATACGAGAGTATGCACGAAAAGGCAAAAGCAAACAGGGTCGGGAAACAGGACTCCCAGAGGTTATGGCTAATGGGTCACGGGTCAGGGGTTGGTTTTTCTGCTTTTGTGGCACGAAATTAATGTTAATTTATGATCAAACATACAGGTCAGAAGGGGAAAAATATAGAGAAGAGATAATTTCATTTAGGTTCGGTTCAATGGATTTAATTTTTAAAACCCTTCCAATAAGTTTTACCTTTAACCTGCACGGTGTACAATATCCGGTACTTGTTAACTACAAAAGTTCATCAGCAAGGTCAAGAAAACAAATTTGTTGTTTGTATTTTTTTGTGTCGAAGCCTAATTGATTGGCCGAGCAAGATTGATTTATCGAATTAAAGTTTCGCGTTTTCTTCCTTGGAAAACAAGATGTATATTTGTGTTTTCCTCCTGATTGATTTGATTGATGGCCCTGGCATTGGATGGTCTGATTGATGGGCTGACCTAATGGCAGTGAATTTTATTTCATTTTTTTATTTTCGGGCCCGCCTGTCTTGAGATCATAAAACGGCTGGTAATCAAACGAATTAACAGCTGATGCCGCCAAAGTCGGAGTATCAAAATACATATTTGAAACTTTTCAAAGTGACAATAATGATGAAGGACCCTCTCTATCCACCTGAATGGTATCCTGGTGTGGGCGAGGCATACCGCACCAACGCATAATGCCATTAACAGCTGTCACTTCGGGCCTGTTGAAATATTTGACAGTCAAACACGAAGCGGCTGGAGTGGAGTAACTGGAGTGCCGCATAAAAAGTGGCAACAAAAAAATAACAAGACCGACATAAAACGAAAAACCGAAAAAGAAAAGCAAAGGAAAAGCCAGAAATGCCATAGAAATGATAATAATAATAATAATAATAATATTGAGACAGCATTTTAGTTTCGTGGTAATGGCTCGCGTTTATTTGCCAAACAAGATGCTTGTCAATTGTTGTTGTTTCTTCGGCTTGTACTTTCTCCACTTTCTCCCACACCCACATACACTTTCTCCCCATTCCATACTCATCGACACAATCGACTAACCAAATTGCGTAGCCGCCTGGTGGTCTTTTCGTCAATCATACGCACTGTTGTACGCCCAACAGGGTGCTTCGGCCATCAGTCAGCCCTAATGCTCCAGGAAATCAATATTTCTCCATGGAGAACCTGCCCACTGATAACTATTTCCCATAACTTATTTTTATTTAAAAAAAAATTAAAAAGAAAGTAGCACACCTTTGCCGAAGACCTTTGCCTTTAAGGCTTTTTTCATAAAATCAAATTAACACCAAGACTCAGGGCACGCAAAGGTACAAAAAAATCATATATAAGGGTAAAGCCTTAATTCTGCCTCGCACTAATTGAAGTAAGGCGATGGGTGGTGGTGGGTGGGCGGAGTCCGTTTCTTCAGGTGGGTGATGGGTTAGCTGCTCGCAGTGCTCGCAGACCGTTCAGAATGTTTGACTTTGGCTCAATTAACACCGCACACAGAATGCTCGACTCATAGATTCATTAAAATACAGCAAACAAGACTGGACAAAATGGAGGCCAGGATTACGGCCATTAATGCTAGAGATGGTACAAGATACTATCGATAACCGAATTTCGAGTAATAACCGAGTAATTATAG